AAAATATATCTTTATTGATCTCAGAGAGAGGAAGGAGAGAGAGACGGATAGATAGAAACATCAATGACAAGTCACTGATGGGCTGCTTCCTGCATGCCCCCTACTGGGGATCGAGCCTGCAACCCGGGCAATTGCCCTGACTAGGAATCGAACTCAAAACCTTTCAGTGTATGGGATGACCTCCAACCAAGCCACACCAGGCAGGGCTGTATATATATATATTTTTAATGTGGCTACTAAATTTTTAAAATTACATATGTGGCTCACATTATATTTGTATGAGAGCATGCTGATAAATTTTAAGACTTCAATTCAGAAACTTTGAGGTGTTCTAAAGCAACAGAAACAATTTTTCACTTAAAAAAAATATCTTTATTGATTTCAGAAAGAGGAAGGGAGAGGGAGAGAAAGAGAAACCTCAATGATGAGTCATTGATCAGCTGCCTCCTGCACGCCCCCTACTGGAGATCGAGGCCGCAACCTGGGCATGTGCCCTGACTGGGAATTGAACTTACCTCCTGGTTCATAGGTTGATGCTCAACCACTGAGCCACGCCGGCCGGGTACATTTTTAAAAAAAAACTAAAAATTTGTTTTCAGTAGTAATGATCACTCTGTCCATAATCATTTTCCTCAGAATGGTTGATAACTTCAATAGAAACTTCCACAGGAAGTAAAAACACACCAAAAACTATGATGACAATTTATTTTCTCTTTTTTTAGTATTACAGTTGAGAGGTAAGCCTGGCTACAGTGTTTATTCTATACACTTCTGCATTGGCCAACTACCTGTTGATCCTTTGCCCATCCATTCTCAGCAGTAGCTAAGCAGCCCCTCTTTGGTAAACGGTCTACAGTTTGGGGACTACCAGTTGTCCTTTGGGAAGGCCTTTCTATCTACCTACCTTTTTTTTTAAAATGTCTTTACTGATTTCAGAGAGGAAGGGCGACGGGGGAGAGAGAGAAACATCAATGATGAGAGAGTCGATCAGCTGCCTCCTGCACGCCCCGACTGGGGATCGAGTCTGCAATCCGGGCATGTGCCCTGACCAGGAATTGAACCGCGATCTCCTGGATCCTAGGTCAATGCTCCACCACTGAGCCACACCTGGCCAGGCTATGCATCGTCTTTGACTTCTGTAAGTTATAGCTGTTGCTGCCCATTTTCTTCTTTACTTGTCACAACAGAAAAGAGTAACTGGAAACAAATCACCTGTCCCGCGATCGCCTTCAATCTAAATCATTATTTAGCTCCTAGTGCATTTTACCGTATCTGACCATCGATCATTTCTTGAGCTTTTATGAGATTTTGCTCTAGTCCAGTCCATTGATTTCTGCCTTGAATTTTTCTTCTTTAACCAATCAGCATCATCGATCACACTGGATTCCAAGAGATACTGGAACACCAGAGAATAAGAGTTCCTTGGATTTCCAATTTCACCTCTGCCGGGTGATATTCCAAGGATTAAACCAACACCCTGATGACTTCTGCCAGACAACTTGGCTTTCAAAGTCTGACGTTCCCTTGCCCTCCCTGCCAACTCCCATGGAACCCGCAGACCTGGTAAGGGGAACAATCCCATCTCTCAAAAGCACCCTAAAGTGTCCAAGGGTGAGGGAAGCCAAGAGCCCAAGCTTCACTGAGATTCAAGGTGACAGGCAGTCCAGTAGAACATGCTGCCCAGCATCCCTCCTGCCTGCTCCCTTTCTCCCAGGAGACTCTTTATCCAGGATACCCTCCAGGATGGACAGCAGGGCAGGAAAGCTACTAGTGATGGCAGGGTCCTCCAAAAATTGTAAACATATTACAGATTATTCCTGTATAGCCTTTACCCAGCTTCCCCTATGGCTAATGTCTTACATATTAGAGTTCATTGGTCAAAACTAAGAAATTGACAGCGGTGCCCTGGCCTGGTAGCTCAGTTGATTAGAATGTCGTCCCAATACACTAAGGTTGTGGGTTCAAACCCAGGTAAGGGCACAAGAATCAAGCAATGAATACATAAATAAGTGGAACAACGAATCATTTTCTCTCTCTCTCTCTTCCTCCCTCTCTAAAATCAAATAAAAAAAAAAAAAAAAAAAAAAGAGCCCTGGCTGGTGTGGCTTAGTTGGTTGAGCACTGTCCCGTGCACCAAGAGGTCACCAGTTCAATTCCTGGTTAGGGTACATCCCAGGTTGCAGGCTTGGTCCCCAGTCTAGGGCATGCAAGAGGCAGCTGATCAATGTTTTGCTCCCATGTTGATGTTTCTCTCTCTCTAAAAATCAATAAAAAATATTTTTAAAAAAATGCTTTAGACTGAATGTTTGTTCTCCCTAAATTCATTGTTGAGAACCCCCAAGGTGTTGTAAGGATGGGAACCATGACTCCCAAACCCTTTCTTTACATGTTGAAGCTGAAACTGGAAGTTGCTTTTCCTTTGGTTTTTAAAAAATGCTCTCAAGGCATGAGGGCTGAGACGGCAGAAACACTGTGTGTATTCATTTGGCCTTTTGGTCAAGTGTGCAGGGAAGCAGACCCTCTGTGAAGAAAGAACCATTGGCCCTGGCTCCTGCGGACCCCCACCTTCCTCACGCCTTCACTGCCCCATTCTGGCTTCATCATCTCATTTGGCCTGGGTTCTCTTTGCCCTCGACTCTACCCTACAGTCTACCTGGATCCTGCCCTCACAGATCTCTCTGTAACACAGACCTAACCATGTCTCTCCATGCTCAAAAACTTCTCCCTGCTTAAAAACACTGAACCCAGAGAATAAAGCACAGGTTGCTGAGTGTGGCATACACAGCTCCTCACCCTAACCTTCCCTCTGCTGCCCACCTTCCCCCCCACTCCTACGCTTTATTGGCAGACCAGGGACACCCAGAACTACTTCCAGGTCCCTGAACATAACATGCTCTCTCTGGTCTCTCTGCCTTGCACATGCTAATCCTGCCAGAACCCTTCTCATCCTGACAGCAAACTGACTCTACCAGCAAGCCCATGCCTCCTCAGGGAGACCTCCCCCAAGCACCCAGTACATTAATCAGGCACAGTGCCATGCTCTTGGTCCCACTGATGCCCCAAGGGGCCTCTCCAGCAGCCAAATCCCCTTCTTAAGCCAGGCAGAGGAAGCATGGGGCAGACACTTTATATCTCACCCATGGCCCTGGTTCCATCCCAGAGGTGGTAGGGACACCAGACCATGTTGGCCAGCCCTAAGTATGGGCCCTCTCTAGCTAGGAAGAGGAGGAGGAACGGTCTAGAGGGTAAGGAACATCTGTGTACAGGCACCTGCTGTACAGGCCAGGGGTAAAGAAAGCTGGCTCTAAGGCCAAGTCCCAAGTTCCAGCAGGTATCAGCTCTTTGACCTTGGGCAAGCTACTTGGCTCTCTGTGCTTCACCATCCTCAGCTACAAAATAGATTAATCAGTAGGACCTAGCTCAGGTGAAGAGGCCTAAGTGAAATAATGTGCTGTAAAGAACTTAGTATGTGGTGAATGCTCAGCAAGTGCTAGTTCATCCTGGACTCATTTCATCCACACCTGGCCAGAGACAGGGATGTTGGCTCCACTCCACAGAGGAGGCAACCAAGGCACTGAGGAAGCAATGGAGCTCTCTGCTTCTTCCCCCTGCACACCATTGCTCAGGCCTCTCCCGCTCCTGGAGCGGGAGAGAGGGTTGGGGAGTGAGGGGGGCTGCATCAGGCACGGCCTGAGGTGCCTACATGTACCTTGATGGAGGTGGCAGCAGCAGCCATAGGGAAGTGTGGGGCCTGGGGTTGGAGTAGTGCCCCAGTCCAGGCTGAGTCAGCTGATCCTGCTTTTCTTCTGCTCATTCCACATCCTCGGCACAGGTATAAAGGAAGGAACACTCACATTTTTTTTAGGTCTTGCTATGTGCCAGATGAGTACAGAGCTGGGGTCTTTGATATCACATCCATTCCCACCAACTCCAAGAGGCTGGAGTTTTGCCTCCACATTACATTAAGTCCAAGATGATGCCACCAGGGTTGTACAGGAGACCGGCATACAGAAATCACGCCATTCCCCTCTCCTGGACCTCAAGTTGAAAAACTCCTGCTCACCACCCTTGCACTGTAACTGCAGCCTGTTTGCCCTTCACTGCGGTGAGTGAAGCTGAATCACTGGGTAACACCAATTTAGGATCACAAGGACTCTATTATACAACCAAACAGTTCCATGGAGCCTGAAGCTTCACTCCATTCATCTTTCCTTAAGTCTCTTGGCTTATGCTTAGGTTGTACAGTGCGCAACCTACACAACTGCACACAGCAACTGAGAACATCCTCAGAGCAGGAGTTTTTTTGGGCAGAGCTACTGAATCCACCTTCCTGAACTCTAAGACCTCAATCTCTTCCTCAAGCATTTCAGGTGTCCTACTTGTTAAACCATTCTTAACTGCCCCTAGTCTCCTCTGACTTCTGCCCCAATCTTTGGAATCAAATGCCTTAAAGAAGTGATCTACTTTGCAGGGCCCCAGGCTTCCCTCCAAGATCACTAATTCCAAGGTGTCCTGGGCTCCCCTCCTTCACCTGTCCTTGGTATTGGGCGATCACGGTAATCTCCCTTGTGCTGTGGGAACACCACAAGGATTCTACTTCTCATCTTCTTCCTCCTGCATCAGAAACATGGTCTTTGCTCCCTCAAGCCATGACTGAGTCACTACCGAAACATCCTGCCTGCCCTGAGTCCAGTCCTGTGGATCTGTTTCTGTTCATCTCAGTGAGGTTTGATAAAGCTCCCTTCCCAGAGTCAGGGCCCACCAGAGCCCGGCAGTGGTCAGACTTCCCCAAGGGCAAGAAAGCCTAGAGGGCTGTGGAAGGTAGCAGGAACCTTGTGCCTTTGGCTTCCACCTAAGCTTCCCCTGCTCTTGCCACCCCCAGCCCTAACCCAATCCTTGCCAGCTTATAAATAAGAGATGTCATCTTTTGTCCTATCCCTTCCCCTTCAGCCACAGGTGACAAACTCGTGGTCCACAACATTTTGTTTGGACTGCCATACTTTTTAAAAGTTTCAATTAGTTGCTGTCATTTAATAATTAACCAATTTCACTTAAGAATCCAGAATTCTAGTTTCTTTTGAAAAATCAGAAGATCCAACAACACAGGCCCATATTCCTACATGGTGACAACCAGCTAGAGCTACTCAGCTGTCCCCTTTCTGTGGGGCTTGCTCTCTGGTTTCTGTACTTTAACCCGCCCAATGGCCCTAGCCACTCATGTCAGCAGCCTGGCCTCTAAATCATGTATCTGCACGAGATGGTCCTGGGGGAAGGAACAAAAGCCCACAGATCTCGGCATGCAAACGAGGGCAGAGCAGGGCAAGCAGAGGCAGGCGGAGAGTAGCAGTTGGGAGTCATATCCTAGCCTCTCTCCATCACTGTTTATTGCTAGCAGCATCCCAGGCACCCTGTGTGTCCTGTCCTGACTTAAGCCTGCCTCTGGGGGTCGGGCTGCTGTAAACATGTAGCCTGCTGTCCACTGCTTCAGGCCACTCCACATCCTATTGGAGCTGGGCCCAGGGCCCGAGGCTTTGTCCAGGGCCTGAGTAGCAGTGTGGCCTGTAGATACAGGCCTCCTTACTGTCTAGCCAACTCAGCCAAATGTGCACCAGGGGGTAGCAGCCTTGTCACAGTCCAACATGATGTTGAGAACAGTGCACGGAGCCCCACCCACAGACAGGGCTGTACGAGCATCCACACGGTACTTCACAGTGTTCAGGCCTCCCTCCCGGTCCACCTTGAATTGCTCCTGGAAGGAAAGGGGAAGAAAGCATGTACTCAGGGCTTTGTGGGTGCCAGCTGTCTATTGATGCCCCATGACCTCATCAGAGGTCCTGTGACTCCACTGAAGAGAGGAGTGAAGCTGACAGCCTTGAAGGCTCGCCTACAGCTGCATGCCCCAGTAAGCAGGAGAGCAGGGGTTTTTCAGTTGACTAACATGGATCCTAGAAAACAGACTGTTTGAGGAATGGGGACTCCTGGGTTGCAAGTCTGCCTGGGATTCCAGCACCTTCAGCTGAGTCCTCCCCACCCAGCCTGCATGGGGTCGGTCATCTGACCTAGTGCCCAGGTGCCAACAGCAGCCACCAAGCAGGGCAGGGTATCCAAGCAAAATGCCATCAACTAAGCTGGGCCAAACAGGGGTGGACAGGGTCATTTGGACCCAAATAGAACTTGGTGAAATGCTTGGGCCAGTTGGTTCCCCATCCCCGCCTATCCATCCTTGATCAGGGGACCAGTCAGCACCTGTTTTTGAGCTGCAATGCGCTTCTGGTCCCTCTTCCGCCAGGCTGGGTCATGCAGGTGGCGAAATGTCTTGTATCCAGTTGTGATTCCCGAGGGGCGGAATAGCTAAAGAGGCCAAAGGAAGTTGGGTCAGGCCACCCCTCCTGGAGTCCTGGCCCTCACCACTAGTCCTCTGGGGTCCCACCGCTTGCCACAGGCCACATTATGCAGAAAAGGTGTGATAAGCTGGGGGTAGGACTGGGATAAGAACCAGGGATGCCATCTCCAAGCTCCAGGAACTTATCTGAGGGCAGAGAAGGGAGCCTCAGGACAGCCACGATAGCTGAGGTGGTGGTGGGGGACCTGGGGGTGTTACCTGGAGCCCAGCTCCTTTGATGCGCCGGTAGAACTCATCGTCCTCACGGCCCCAGCCCCAGAAGCGGTTGGACATCCCGTTGCACTGACACAGAGACAGGGAGCATCACTTGCCATCCTCCCAGTGTGCTCTTCGGTCTCTTACCACTCGGGAGTACCCAGCCCCCTTTCCCCCTCCCCTGGCAGTTTGGAACAGACACCCATAAGCTTACAGTTGCCAGAATCTCTGAGGAATTGGGGGGACAGTCAGCATATCCCAGTCCCTTTGTCCACTCTAATGGGGCCTTGACTTATGTGAGATGGTTTTTCCCCCCATATCTGACTGGCAGGAGGGGACCTCTCTGGGTAGCTGGGCAGAAGCGCCAATTCCTGCTCATCCTTCCCATTTCTCCTGGGGTGGCTCAACCCTGGTCTCTTTCTCTGTGTGGGAAAGGAACAGTTGGGCTCTATGGCAGACACCAATTTCCGCCACCAGACTAGGGGCTTCATTTACATAAGGCTGGCTTTAGTCTTCTGAGGAATAGGAGACCAGGTCTAAGCTACTCAGTTCTTCCTCCCCACAACCCCAAGCCACAGTGACTCAGGGAAAGGCCCAGGACCCAAGTCAGGCCAATCAAGAGCCAGTGCAGTATAGCTCCGGGACTATCTGGCTGTTGGAGAAGGAGTTACCTCTTCCAGTGGACTTGGGCCTAGACAGATACAGACTGCAGCTACAACCACCACCCTTCACCCTGAGTCTCTAGAAAGAAATCCTGCCTAAAGAAGGCAGAAATGAGTGATGAAAAGAGAAATGGTGCCCTGGTGACACTATCCGAGAAGCTGGGCAAGCCACACAGGAAGTCACACCCTCCTCTCAGCCCCACCCAGACTCTTCCATTTTGAGACTCAATGAACCCCACTTTTATGAAGCCATTTCTCACTGGCATTCTGTTGCTGTGGCTGAATCCTCCCTAACCAACCTGCTCAATCCTGCTCATCTTTCCTGTCTCTGGCTGCTCCTGGGTTCCCTGCTGGGCCCCAGAACTGACGTTACTCCTGCCAGTGCCCCCACCCAGGTAGGCGCTCCCTGGCTCAGCAGAGAAGGCTGGCTGGGCCTCACCAGCTGGTAGTGCTGCTTGGAAAGCAGCAGGATGCCGCCGACATAGGTCTTGTAGTGATAGAGTGGGTGGAGCTCTGGGGCAGCCACATGGAAGGGCCCTGCCTCAGGGAAGCCATAGTCAAGCTCCTCGTTGAGAGGGAGCAGGTCAACGTCGTGCATGGCGATGTAGTCCGTGCTGTTGCTGCTCTCCAAGAAGCCCACATTGATGAGTGCCGCCCGGTTGAACCTGTACAGAACAGCCAAGGCTGGGCAGTGAGCTGGCTTTCCCCCACACTCTGCAGGAGAGCCTGTCTTCTACAACACCCACCCTGAAGGAAGGAAGGGCCTATGCTGCCATCCAGGCTGACACTGATTTTATTGTGGGGCTATCCAGCTGCACATCTGCTCCTCATTCTTCCCCCAAATGTTTACTAAGCACCTACTACGTGCCAGAAACTGTTGAGAGCACAGGAGATATAGCAGTGAGAAATCAAAGCCATACCCTCAAGGAGCTGATATTCTAATAATAGAAAACAAAAATAAACAAATAAGTAAATACTTAAAAAGCCAGACAATGGTAAGTGCTGTGGAGAAAAGTAAAATAGAAGGTCTAAGCATGAGGCAGTTGTTTTTAGACAGGTGGCCAGGGAAGGCCAGGATAACAGGGTGATGGGTGAGCAGAAACTTGAAGTACAGAGGGAATGAGCTCTATGGAAATCAGGGAAAGGGGGCTCTGAGCAGAGGGGAGAGTGCCTACCAAGGCCTGAGGCACGGCAGACACCAACGTGGCCAGGCAGTGCGTGAGGGGAGTGCAGAGGAAGAGGTCAGAGGGTGATGGGCCCCTGACAGGTTTGAGCTTTGGCCCTGGATGAAATGGGGAGCCACTGGAGGGCTTAGAGCAGAGGCATGATGTGCTGTGACTTAGGGTGCAACAGGATCACTCTAGTTGGGGTGTTGAGAAGAGACTGGAGAGCTGAGGTAAAAGCAGGGAGGGGAGTAGAGAGGCTATTACAATAATTTAGGCAAGAGATGATGGTGACTTAGCTCAGGGAGGCGGTGAAGACAGTGAGAAGTGGGCAGATTCCAGATGGATTCTGCTAATGGACTAGATATCTCATGTGAGGCAGAAAGAGTAGAGGATGATTTCACGGCTTTTTGGCCTGAGTAACTGGAAGCATGGAATTGCCATTTCCCAAAGGGGGAAGAGGCAGGGGGAGCAGGCCTGGGGCAGGAGGGAAATCAGGAATTCAGCTTTGATCAAGTTAAGTTCGAGGTGCCTGAGACCAGCAAATGAAGGGTTGTGCAGGTAGATGGATGTGCAGGAGAGAGGTCTGGGCTGGGAATACAACCTCAGGAGTCACCAGAGTAGAGATGAGACTTAATGCCCTGAGCCTGGATAAGATCCCCCAGGGAGGGACTGTAGCTAGCAAGGGGACACTCAGGAGCACTGAGACTGAGAGATCAGGGAGATGAAGCAGAATGTGTAAAGAAGATGGGGAGGGAGGAGAAAGGAGAAGAACCAGAGAGTGCTGTCCCAGAAGTCAGAGAGAGGTGTTTGAGGAAGGAAGTAATCCACTTGGCAAATACTGCCGGGAGGTCTACAGGATAAAGGATGATTAATACAGTTCACAGGTGATGTCAGTGAGAGCTGTTTTAGTGTCATGATATGGGTAAACATCTGAGTGGAACAGGTTCAAGAGACAATGAGGGGAGAAACAGAAGGAGTTTTGTTATAAAGGGGAGCAGAGAAATGAGGTGATAGCTGTGGGTGATTTGCAATTTTGTACGCTGATACAAATACTCCAGGAAGGAAGAAAAACTTGATTGTGCAGGAGAGAAAAGGGCCCACAGCTGGAGTGATGTCCTTAAGTAGCAGGCGGGAAAGGGAGCCAGTGCCAGTGGAAGAGCTGGCCCCAGCAGAGCTGGGATAGGGCCTCAAAAGCAACTGTGCACACAAGTGGGTACATGGGGCTAGGGGGTGGGGACTTGGGCAAGTTCTCCCCCAACTGGTTCTGTTTTCTCAAATAGAAAGCAGTTTGGGGAGGGTGGGCGAGGAGAGGGGAAAGGCAGCAGACTAGAGGAATTCAAGGCTTTCAGACAGGGCTGAGGAGCTTCCTGGGCCAAGGCTCATTGTCTCCAGTCACATTCAGCTGCCCAGGAGCAGGTGTGAATTAAGCAGTCAGGTTTTGTCCGGCAGAAGTTGTGCCAGGCAGAAAGGGGCAAGGGAGTTGAGGTATACACAGGGGAGTGATTTTAACGATAGACCATGGAATCCAAGTTAGGTCAGGGGAAAGTGAGAACAAGGAGGGTGGGCAATGAAAATTGGGAGCATCGGCAGGCTCTCTCTGGAGCACGCCCACACCTTTCTTCCCTCTCAGGTGTGCATCTTTATTTTTCTCTCCTAAACTCTAAGGGTTCCCATAAGACTGGCAGCCAGGGGAGCAACGGGCAGCAGCAGCTCGTCCCAGGCTTATACCCTGAACCTGTCTCTAAGGCCCCCTTTCCTCTGACTTTTCAGTGAGCTAAGAGCAGCCCCGCCTCAGCCCACTGCTGCCACTGTAACTTACTTCCCAGTGAGTCTACGCAGCCCCACGTGGCTCACTTCTTTCCTGTTTCTAGAGAGCCAAAGCAGAGCACCGCCTAGGCTCTCTCCTGTTGCTTCCTCTACCCTAATCCCTTCCTTTGTTTCACTGTCCCCTGCTTTAATAAAGGTATTCTAAAAGTTAAAAAACTGGAGGGAAAGGTGGGGGTGAAGCATGGGATGCTTTGATTGTGATCATGGAAGAAAGCAGATTTTGGTAAGGGCAAGGATTTCAGAATAATGCCAGACTGTGAACAACTTTAAAGCCGTAATCTTGACCCTCCCTTTGCCTAATCCTCACAACCAATCCACTGGCAAGCCCTGTCTGTGCTTCCTCCATCCCTTCTATCATGCTGGCCAAGTCCTCATCATCTCAGACAACTGCAGTGACCACCCACAGCTCTCCCTGCTCCTCCTCCTGTCCTGGTATAATTTATTCCACATACAGCATAGCATCCACATTTTAAAATGGAAATCAGACCAGGGTTCTCCCCAGCCCCAAACTCTCCCCAAAGATTTATGTCACCCCCAGTGAGAAGGGTCCCACCTCGCACCCTCCTGCCACCGACCCAGGTGGTCCTTCACAGTTCTGAGGCCCACAGCATTGGGCTGCTGCCAGGAAAGGGAGCAGGCCCTGAAAGACCTGGGCAAGGTGAGGCCCCTGGAAAGGGGGAGCAGGGTCAGGTGGTCCCTACCTGAAATGATCCACCTGGTTGAGCACGTAGATGTGATGTGGGATCTTCTTCTTGATCAGGAAGCGATGCATGTGGGGCACAAAGACCAGGAGCTCCTCGAAGCGTTCGCGGAAGGGCACCAGCACTGCCAGGCGGTGGGGGCCCCATGACGGATCTTCTTCCCAGTGCTCAGGGGGTGGCTCTGGGGGGCAGGCCCGTGGTGGACCTGGGGTCTCCTGCCCTTGTCCCCTGGCTGCCCAGGCCATTTCACCAGAGCAGCTGAGCTGCAGCCAGAGCAGGGAAAGGAAGCCCAGTAAGAGACAGGCAACGAAGAGGTGGAAGACGGAGCATTTCCGGGGGAGGCTGCTGGGAAGCAGCCTGGACCTGGGACAAGAGCAGGGACGGATCAGAAGGGCAGGGCTGGGCCAGGGCCCTGTAATAGACCCTTTCTCTGGCTTCCCCACAATTAAGGCACACATGAATGGTCTGCCCAAGCACCTGGAATTAGTGCAGAAGCAACTTTAATACTTTTGCTCATGCTATTACTGTGTGTCAGAATACTGCTTGCTATTCTAGGCCCAGCCCATGACCCCTACCTCTAACCACTTCCGGGTCACACAGCTGCCCATTCCTTGATGCTCTCTTATTTTCTGTGAATGAACCCTGGTCAGACCACAAGGGCAGGGATGAGGCTCTTTGTCTCTTGCACTTGCCCCTCCCAAGAACAGTGGCTCCTGTCCTGAGCTGATTGCAGGAGCCCAGACTTAAAAATCTTACCCTCTGCCTTTCACATCCTGCATGTTCACCACCAGCTGAAACTTTGGCTTTATTCTGCTTCTCACACCAGAAAGCTCCCCAAGACCTGAGCCTGTGCTGGCATCAGTCTCCAGTGAAAACCCCCAATGTTTACTTTGGGAAGATTGGGTCTGCCCCCAAACCAATGCAAGGCCCAAACCAACAGAGCAGTTCACTGAACAAATCTTAAAGCTTCAGTCCAGTAGGCAGCACATACGACAAAAGATGAGAGATGAATAAGGGAAAGAAAGATTGGGGCTGGGACCAGTACCCCGGCTCATTTCTGAAACTGGGAAGACAAATGGATATCTTAATCACTGTGGTAGTGCTGAGAGAGATTGCCCTTTAGGTTAAAAGTACAAAGAAACAAGTGGAATTCACCTGATTCTTTTGCCCCTCTCTCTGGAAGTTCCTGAGGATAGTGAAGGAGGAGCTCAGAAACCCAAGAAAAGGGAGGCTTCCTCTGCACTACTCCCCATGAAATAATCAGCAAAGCAACCTGCTTTATATATAACTTTTATGAGTCACCATGTAGCTACCAGGCTTATAGATTCTACTTCCTAAGTGCCCCTTGACCCTTCCTCACCCACTGCCTCTCTTTTGTTCAGGTCTCATTGGTCCTAGCCCAGCTTAGACCCTTTCAATCGCACAGATGGTCCTCTTTTGTTTACAAGAAAAAGACCAAATTCCTCGGCCTGACAGTCAAACTCCTCTGTGACCTGGCCCCATCTCCAGTTGCCCCCTACCACTCACCCAGTGCTACAGTTTGGGCAACTCTGAGCTTCTTCACTTACCATATTCCTTCCTGCTCCAGCCCTCACACAGCCTGCTGCTTCTGCCTGAAATGCCCTTCCTATTTTATCTGCCTGAAAGCCCCTCACTGATCCTTCAGGGCCAAACTCCAATGTCATGGCCTGCATTGCCCATCTCCCCACGTACACAAACTGAGATACATGCACCTTCTTCTGTGTTCTCATGGCATCTGGTATTTTACTCTTTGGAGCACTTAGAGGTCTGTAATCACCTGAGTCTCTGCTTCTCTTCCCCATAGGTAATCAGACTCCTGTCTGTAGCCCCAGCACAAGTCACACAGCAGAGGGCATGCTAAGTGAGTTACAGGAAGGTTTCAAGCAGTCAGGGCATGCTTTAAGTTATACACTTAGAGCCACACCAACTCCTGCCTCTCTCTAGTGGCACAACTGCCAACCGAGAAGCCAGCAGCCTGGAAGGCAGGTCCAGGTCCCACACACAGTAGAAAGAGATGGCTGGGTAGGACACCTTCACAGGGGGCTTCTGACTTACCCCCCATTGTCCTGTGGTGGGGGTTTCCGATGGGGAGGAGCAGAACCCAATCCTGCCAGTGGCCTGGGAAGGCTGGAGCCTCTACACATTCTCCCTCTGAGCTCTTTCTGAGGGTGGGGTGGAGACCAGGGAGATAGACATGGGGAGCCATCCCACCTTCAGGGGAAGAAGCAGTGACCATTACCCAGGGGTATGGCATGAATTGGGCATTCCATGCTCTTTCACATGCTGTTTCCTCAGACTAACTTTCCCTTCCCACCAGGATCACATCCCCATGGGCATTTTCATCCAGAGCTGGTAAAGGCCCAAACCATGAACTTAATTCAGAGCAGAATCCCAATTCCTCCAAACAGTAGATAATACCAGAACAGTTGCTCCTGATGCCACCTGGTGGCAAACTCCAGACCTGCAGTCCCATTGGCTCCCAGGCCCAGGCCACCCTGCTCTGAGGGGCAGACCAGATGAGGTTTTGTCTCCTTCCTCAATCTGTGCCCAAGGCTAGAAAAGAGAAGATTCAAACCCAGGCAGGCTGGCTCCACAGCCAGCACTCTTAATTGCTACATTAGCCTGCATCTGTTGCATGGATCTTTGTACTCCTGTGTCAAAAGCGAGAATAGACATCAGTAACTTTTTCTAGGAACAGTTATTTTCCAAAGGTTTATCAAAAGGGATCAGGAAATGGAAATTTTCCTCCATTGCCTTTCCTTTCTTCCCTCACACAAATCTAAGTGATACAAGGTTTGAATACTCAAATGCTCTGATTATAGCACCTCCAAATGACAAAGGTAACTAGAAGATACCTCCTCTATGCCAGGTAGTGTCAGGGATTTTACATGTTTTTCTCCTTTAATCTTCATATAGCCCTCTTCCTGGTTTCAGAGATGGAAAAGCCGAGGTCAGAAAGATTAAGTGATCTGTTTCGGGTCACATGGCTATTAAAGAGGATTCCTGCCCAGGGCTGACTCCACAGTTCGGTCTTTCTATTATATTCTTGTCTTACTTCAACACCAACTCCGAAAAATCCCCAAAGGTAAAGAGTTTTACCCACTATATTCCAAAATCTTTTGCCACATGGTAGACTTAAAAGATCTAAAGGGAATGAGGTGTCATTCACTGGGTAAAGACTCACTACGTGTTCTAGGTGAGAAGGGTTTTGGGAGCACATCTCAAGACTGAAGTGCCCTCCCAAATGTAGACAACCCAAAAGCTCTTATCTCCCCAATTCTGCTTTAGCAGGAAACATCATTTGTTGAGATGTGGGCCAAGCCCATACATAACATATGGAGCAGACCCCATTCAAGTACAGCTGCACAGGAAATGAATTAGTGTTGTGTGAGGAGTGCCTACTACATGCCAGGCAGCAGCCAGCCAGGCAGAGCAGACAGAGCTTCTGTCTGGTGGATGGCCAGCAAAGAAAGGGGGAG